CATCAATTTAATGTTAGGGATTTCAAATGTTTTATCAAATATTTTACTAAATATGTCACGACCCAAATCCGCTTCTATGGGTTTAGTATCGCAACCAGCCAGTAATCCTTGGATTACCAAAGGCCTCTTGACAGATTAACATATAGTTAGGGGCTGTGGAAGCAAATATACAAAATATACGAGGTCCAATGAGCTGTGGTGACATATATGGGACAGAATAGCTTGAAACTTTTATAATTTACGAGTGAAGCCAACAGACATAATAGTTACATATCACACTTAGGCGTACATGTCAAAAAGATCGCTCACAACTTAACAAACAAACATAGTCTAATAATGATTACAAAAATAGCCACAAAACTAGACTTCATCCGGAACCTCCTCGGGAGGCGCAAAGGTTGGCTGACAAAAACTAAAACATAGGCTGCCAACTCTGGCCCTGATCACGTGCTAGCTCACCTACATACATAATATAAACAGTGAGCGGAAGCCCAGTGAATAATAACAGAGTAAAGGGTTTTAATGAATGAAGTTCATACAGATTCAGAAATCATAATTCAGATTCATAAACAGATTCATATTCATATTCTTGTTCAAATCAAATACAGAAATCAGAGTTCATGCTTAATCATACGTGGCACATCCATTAGCGCTAACAGAACAGATACAGAACAGATGCAGAACATATAGTGGTTATGAATAACCAGTTCCATAAAGGAACCTCCGGATTCGGGTAACAGAGAATAAACATGCTGAGCCCCATGATGGAGCCTCCGGTACGGGTAACAGATGACAGACATAATAAGTTCCATAATGGAACCTCTGATACCGGGTAACAGCTAACAGATATCACATGATGCTAAGGATGCCACGAATACGTTGTCAAAAATTGGAGAATCATTCATTGTACAGAATATAACATTTCAGAAAACAAATCTTATTTCATTATTCAGAAAATAAATAAAGTTGAATATAACTTTACTAAGTTATTACTCACAGTTGTCTTCGGGTGTAGACAGAAAGAGCAGATTAATCAAACGGTTTATGGCACGTGACCTACACGAACACATAACAAAAACACACTTGAAACACTGTTTCGAATTATATATAACTTACTTTCTTTGCTCTTAACGTGTTTCTAGCCTTTAACCTCATTATGGAGTCTTAATCATGGCCTATGAATGCCTAAGATGGAATGCGGATGCAAAAATACACTTGAAAATATTTTTCAAAACTTGCTGAAAACAAGGTCCACGCTAGAGCGTAGCTTTCCTCGCTCGAGCGAACATGCAAGAAGTGAAGGTCCGCTCGAGCGTGACTTCCCTCGCTCGAGCGGATTGTCAATTTTGGCAAAAGTACTCGATGCATGATTTTCACACTCGACGGATGCTCAACCTCCGCTCGAGCGTGAAACTTAGACCTTCGCTCGAGCATGACTTCCCTCGCTCGAGCGGACTGTAAAACATATGAACTTCTGGGTACATGTATTTCACGCTCAAGCGTGACTCACGTCGCTCGAGCGGAAGTGCATGTGCTCAGAGTGCTCGCTCGAGCGTGAACTCATACGCTCGAGCGTGAATGCAAAATCAGGAATTTCCAGATTCGATCTCAAAGCTTCAAACTCAAACCAAACATTTCAAAACTCAACGTTTTGGCCAAACTTTAGGAAACTCATAGAAACTCACAACATGTTTTAAGGATCATTTCAAGAAATCATGGCCCAATAACATGCCAATTGTACAAAATTCAACTTAAAACTCAAGAATGATCCATGAACATGACATGCATGCATTTCTTTGAACTAAAGCTTCTCAAAACATGATCAAGTGTTACCAAACAACATAAAACTCATTGTTTTCCCAAAATTAGAGTGAATTCAATACATGTATGAGGGAATTCTTTGAAAACACTTTCAAAACTTCATGAAATGCACATGCAAACATAAATTTATTCTCAATTCCAATCTTTAGCTCAATTCTCCTGACAATCCACCTATCTCACTTGATCCCATGCATTAATCAACTAAATTATAAAACTAGAGGCTAAAATTCTTACCTAAGATTCTCAATTCCTTATAATTTAGAGATATTCTTGAGCAATCCCCCAAGTCCCCCTAGCAATTCTTCCAAACTTCAAGCTTGACCTCAACTCCCACTCTCTACTTCTCTCTCTCTCACGTTTTTCTCTTGGAGGCTCAAAGATGGTAAGAAAACAAAAGGCTCAAATGAGGTGTATAAGCCTTATGTATGCTTAAGTGGAAGTATAATTAAATAAGGCCAAATAAATAGACATTAAATTAAATTAATCTAATTTAATCGTTCCGAATCGGATTTCAATTGAACCTACCATAAAATTCTAAAAATTCCAATTAACACATAAATCAAGCCTATTTCCGAATCAGATGCCGATAAAGCCTTCAATTCGCAAACCGAAACTAAAACATGGACAGATCTTCCTACGCTAAACAGATATAAACACAGATAATGCAACACACACATGCAAATTAATTCAGAATTCCTCCTTAATTACTGTCAGGCATAATTAATCATGGATTAATGTTAATCATGAGTCGGGGTTGTTACAAAATGTCTCATGTGGTGCGAGACCTATATATATATATATATATATATATATATTATTTTATTTTTGATCGGCAAATGTTAATTGTTAGTTGTTGGATTAGCACACATGGGAGAAAATCTTTCCACCCTTAGCAAAGCACCCAAGTGCTTGCACACCCTTAATTCAACTCCTTAAGGGGAATTTAACCCATGACCTCCTTGGAACTAAGCCCTAAGGAAGGTGTGGTGGCCAACTAGGTGTGGGACCTCTATGAGACCCACATAGTATGGGTCTAATACTCATGTAAAACATTTGATAAAATATTTGAGATCTCTAACATTTTTCTTCAATAATAAAAGGTTATTTGGAAGGTCCAGTCAACTTAATAAGCTAGTTATTAATTAGGAATTACCACTTTAGATCTTTATTATTATTATTATTATTATTATTATTGTTGTTGTTGTTGTTGTTGTTATTGTTATTATTATTATCCAAATGCTGGCTAGTGTCCCATAAGCATCGTATAATATTAGGATTGACATGAAAATTATTTGGAAAATGTCTCGTAACTCAAATTTTGTGGCTCAAAAGTGGCTCAAATGGCCAAAACGACGTCGTTTTGGCCATTTTTATGTTGTTATGTACTCAAAACGACGTCGTTTTGGCCATTTGAGCCACAAAATTTGAGTTACGTAGCATTGTCGAAATTATTTGGAAAATGTTAAGAAAAGTTAAAAAGTGTATTGGTTTTAATAAAAAGTGCACTGATTTTAATAAAAAAAATGTCTTATATTTTTCAAATATTTTTGTAGTCTTTTTCTTATTTTTTTGTAGTCTTTTTCCAATACTTCATAGACACTTATTAGTAAGATCCTCATTCTTATTAGCTCAGCTTGTTATATAGAATAAATTAACCTTAATATAGTAAAAAATTATTACATTTTATATTTTACCTTATGCTAATTTTCTCACATTTAATTTCATACTAGTTTTGAGATAAAAAGACATTATGCAATCAAAGAAAAATAGTGGGGAAAAACAAAAGAAAAGTAAAGAATATTGCCTTAAACTAATTAGTTGGAATGCTTTGAATAAGAATCTGTGATTGGATGATTTCGTCTGTTGAGTTGTTAGACTCCTTTTTGAACTTTCACATTGATGAAGATTAGTGTAGTTGGCCTAAATAATTAGACTAATAGTGTAACACATTCATGAAGATGGAGACCATATCTATACTAATATTTAGTAACCTAAAAAGCTAGTCAGCCTCTCTGCCTACCTGCAATGCTCTTATTTTAATTGAGAACTACTAATTCTAGTTGTTGTTTTGTTTGTTTTTTCTAGGATGGTCCACAGTGGTCCGTTACTAACATTTAACTTCTATCTCCCACTAACTAGATAACGTGTGGGGTATTCCCGTACCACACCACACCATACCCACCACATCCACATTCAGTGGCAACTCCCTCCCCCCCCGGGTCTCTCTACATAACAAGCAATATCAGATGTAAATGGAATCCAGCTCAATGCAAATAGCTCTCTATCTCTTTCTCTTTAAAGACACAGTGCGATCTAGAAGCTTGTTCCACATTACAAATTGAGGGTCCATTTAGTGAACCACTTCACATAATTTATAGGCCTAAGAGGGAAGCGGTGTTGTTGGCAAGTAACATCATTTAATCCTATGATGTGAGTGAGTTAATTGTAGCTTTCATCAAACAAGTAACATCATTTAATCCTATAGACCAATAATAATCTTCATGTCAATTTGAAAGTCTCATGAATAACAATGAGAATTTATTGTATATTACAGATTTTTCAATCTTCATTATTAACAATAATTATAGTAATCGTGGCTTTCACATAACTTTTATTTCAGATTGATAGTATTGCAGTCAGTAAAATTCATTTTACATGGGAAGTGTTAGGCTTTGTTTGAATGTATGATTTTGGAAGGGATTTATCAAGAAAAAGAAAAAAGAGAAGAAAAAATGACAAAAACGTACACTACAACATACTATGAGAGTTTTAGAGATCAAATTTTTTGTCTCTAAAAGTGAAAATTTTGTTGCAAAAGACATTAGGTATCAATTTCTATCGTCATGAGGATAGTTGTTAAAAAATCGTCCCGAAAAGTCAAAAATAAGGCTTTTAGCGACAAAATTTTGAAAAGTCACTAATAAATAATTTGATCTAAAAAAGATAATAATTCATCACTAATGTCCAATTTTCGTTGCTAAAAATATAATGAAGACACTTTTCGTAACAAAAATATTTGATCCTTAAAAAATAATTTTGTCCCTAAATTTTAGTCTCCAAAATTTTTTTTATAGTGGTATTTCAGTCACATTTCTTTTTATTTTGTCATTCTCTTTATAACTCTCTCTCCAAATTTAAAATTCCAGCACAACTTTAGAATATGAAGTTTCAAAGTGACTGGGGGAACGTGGTTGTATACAATAATATTTATTTCACAGCAACTATATATAGTCACAGAGAATGTCATTTTCTAAGTTGGTCTGTTGGTCTGCTACTTAAGGTGCCAACTTTGGTATTTTATTCCATATTCTTGCAACCATAATACATTACTGCTAACACTCCCATGGCTTCAAAGCCCCATTTCCAAGCTATTCTCTTCCTTCTCTCCCTGTCCTGTCTGTCTCTGGAATCTTATTCACTGAATCTGGAGAGAGAAGCAGACTACCACAAATGGATATCCTGGCATGTCAATAATTTTCGGAAGAAGACTAGTTTGGAAGCAGAATCAACAACTCGAGCGCCACCAGGAGGAATTGGTAGCAAATTAGTTCTTGATACAAAGCTAAGGAATGCTGAGATGAACAAAGTAACAATCAATGTCAGTCAAGATGGAGCGGGAAATTTTAAGACCATCAGAGAAGCCATTGGCAGCATTCCATTGCACAACACCAGAAGAGTGATAGTGTTCATCAAACCAGGTGTTTACAGGTATATGTACATACTTTTTTTTTTTTTGGACATGACATAAATTTAGATTTGGTGAATTTTGTGTTAGGATTCGAAATTGGGAAATGTACTATTAACTATGTGGATGACTCACTAGGGAAAAGATTGCTGTGCCTAGAACATTGCCATTTGTGACATTTATAGGGGAATCAAGTGGAAGTGATCAGCCAACAATTACAGGGAATGACACAGCGTCGGTGACAGGAATAGATGGAAGGCCTCTGAAGACCTTCCAGAGTGCCACTGTTGCCATTGATGCCAATTATTTTGTGGCTGTCAACATGAAGTTTGAGGTAAGTGCACCTGTGGTGGTGGCCATTATCTAGCCAATTTAGACGTACTTTTTTTTTTTTCTACGTCGGAGATCACACATTCCTTATTAATGTGGTGGTGTCCATCGTCTTCATTCTCTTTCTCTCCCTTCTCTCTCGCTCTCTCTACCCCTTCACTCTCTTTCTCTCCCTTTTTCCTCACTTTCTCTACATCTAACACAAAATTTAACGTATGACACTAACTTTTTACTACAAACACAACTTAAAAATACAAAAAAATAAAAATAAAAATTACTAACTGAATTTCGTAAGTTAACCTATGACACTACCTAACAAACTCATTAGAGATGCTCTAATACAAACCAAAGAACTGTCATCCATGTTTATACTTAACTAATTCAATTAATAATAAGATAATTTGATTTTGTTTGTGTTAAGGATAACATTACTGTAACTAAATGTTGCCTTGACCGCATTTTATTGCATATCCAACAGCAATTTATTTATGGCTCACAAGAAGGGACTGTTGTATCTGATGGCATAAGGAGAGACAGAGAGACATTCCCCTGCTGCCTGAATCTTTCCAAAAGACCAAAACAATCAAAATTGGCATCACTCAGAGTCCATAAGAACTACACATTCATGAGATCACGGGTTTCAGAAAAGAAATTCAGAACCTTCATGGCTTTAATCCAAGCCAAATCTCACAACTGCAAAGTTTCCACAACACAACAAATTAGGCTTATGGACCCCTCTTTTTTTTTTTTTTTTTTTGGATCTCTACATCATTAAATCCTCTACAATCCTACATACACATAATTTTTACTCAAAAATTTCAATGTATGGTTCGGATTCATTGATTCAACATACAAAAGTTAAATTTGAATCGTACATTACTAATTTTGGGAATAAAATTCTGAGCATAAATTCTTGGTGTTTGGCTTTTCTGTTAAATTATGTGGGTGGGGGGTAATGCAGAACACAGCAGCGCATGAGGATGGATTTGTAGGAGGGCAAGCAGTGGCGCTAAGGATATCAGGGACTAAGGCTGCATTTTATAACTGCAGTTTTTATGGTGCTCAAGACACCCTTTATGATCACAAGGGCCTTCACTATTTCAATAATTGCTTCATCCAAGGCTCGGTTGATTTCATTTTTGGCTATGGCCAGTCCCTTTATGAGGTCAGTCAGTCCTATTCCACTACTCTTTTTACCATAGGACACTTGATATGCCTTACCCAAACTTACCTAAAATCACACATGAATTGTATCCTAATTGATCATTAAAACAAGTTGAAAACGAAAATCAAATATTTCTTGCAAATTTGATTTACAAATAGCTCCTACAACTTTCATATGTTGAAAATGATACACAAAAACCTCATTTGGAATGTTATTTCAAATGTATTTCTCAATAGACACAACCATGCTATCACAAATTCTTTTGTCACCCATTCAATTTACAAAAACAATAGCAGAAAATACCACCTCTACTATGGTAGTCCTGACAAGTAACAAAGATAGGCACTTCTAAGTTACCACAGCTTAAACTATCTAATTGGGCCCATAAGTCCCTGTGTAAATTCTTAATAAATAAATTCAATAATTGTAACCATATTATTTTGTTATATTTGTTTTCTTGAAGGAAATATGAAAAAATATATATAACTATAATTATCTGATCGCTTTGATTTTTTTTTTCCCCATGGATCTATGCATGGTAAAAAGATTGAATTATTTGAATAAGGCCCATGGAGGGTTTCATGGGTCCAACTGAACAGTCTAGTTTTTATTTATTTTAATATTTGTATGAAGAACATCAGCATATGGGCCTTACTAATATGGTAACCTAATATTTCATAGAGAGAGTTGTCCCAAAATTTTAGATTGATAGTGTAAATATAATCTTTTTGTTGTAGGCCCACTCTAGGAGTAAATACTTACATTATTTTGAGTAAATTTTATATTTTTGAATTTTTTTTTTTTTCAAGGATTTATATAACCGTGACTAGACCATTCTTATTCTTTCTTTACATTGTAATGCATGTGTGGGTGGGGGTGGGGGGGTATGTAGAATTGCAACTTGAACTCAATAGGAAAGAAGGTGACGTCTGTGACAGCTCAAAAGCGGACAAATGCAACATTGGAAAGTGGGTTTTCGTTCAAAGACAGTAAGGTAACAGGGACTAGGAGTGGAGGAGGAGGGGTTTACCTGGGAAGAGCATGGGGCGACTATTCTAGGGTTGTTTTCTCTTACTCCTACTTGGACACTATTGTTCTCCCCCAAGGTTGGAGTGACTGGGGCGATCCTACCCGCCATTCGTAAGTCTATAAATATATATACTCACATTGATGCTAATTTTTTATTTTTTACATTTTATTATATATGTGTACGTATGATTCTGCGCACAATTCTAAAAAAAATCAATGTATTTGTATTGTATTCCTTTTAACTAATCTTTACTATTAATGAATTACAATTTACAGGAGAGTGTATTATGGAGAATACAAATGCAGTGGACCGGGAGCTAATTTCACTGGAAGAGTACCATGGGCCCGGGTATTGACAGACGAAGAAGCTCAGCCTTTCTTAGGGACTTATTACATCTCTGGTGACGCTTGGCTTATTCGCCCTTAACCAAACACTAATGTTCTATAATTCATGTTCCCCTTATTACTTTTACCATCAAAGACCAATATTCAATTCATGTTCTCCTTACTACTGTTACCATCATTTGTAAGTTCAATAATTGGTCTTCAAAACTAAATTTTATTACATGTAAGTTTTATGATATTTATGAAATTATTTACAAAAAAAAAAAAAAAAAAAAAAAAAAAAAAACATGTTCTATAATCGAAGTAAATTTCTCTAGACTAATCATATCTTGGACTATGAGCGTGCTTTCAAACATCAAAAACTGTTTTAAAAAAAAAAAAATTAAAATTCAAGTGTTTCAAATAATCAAATCGATTTGGAGAGTAAACATATATTTAATTTAAATCAAATTATATCAATGGTCCAAAAAAAAATACAAATAGTTGCATGATCAAAAGATGTAGATGTGGCAAACTGATTCTTATAGTTGTGCATATATATATATATATATATGTTTGTGCGCTTAATATATGTATCCATACATACACTTGATGAATGAAACAAATCGATTTGGAGAGTAAACATATATTTAATTTAAATCAAATTATATCAATGGTCCAAAAAAAAATACAAATAGTTGCATGATCAAAAGATGTAGATGTGGCAAACTGATTCTTATAGTTATATATATATATATATATATATGTTTGTGCGCTTAATATAGGTATCCATACATACACTTGATGAATGAAAGCACTAAACCACGAAAAATTATTCAATGCTCCTGCACCACATGGCTGATTTCTTAATGCCAAATCCAACGGTCAGCTATCCTCCACAATTGTGCGGAATTCTCATCTTCTGCACCAACAATACTCCATATGTAGTCATAGTACTGCTGCTTACCAGAGACCAAATTTCCCTTTCTACCCCCATTTCCATTGCCATTATTGTCAGTCTCAATCCAGCCTTCCCCTTCCTGCAGGCATTGATCCCGGTGACATTTCATTAGAGCTCTCACCAACAGCACTAATGATGCCATCTTAATTAAATTTGCACAGTTTTGCACAGAGCAAGTCTTTCACCTCACCTTTGTATATATATATATATATATATATCCATGAGCACCTCAACTCAATTACTACCATTTGGAAGCATCAGAAGAACAGTGTGCCATATCATATTTGATTTTCCTTGTTTGAAAATGTGTGTCCACGGGAGTCAAAATCACGAGAATGCCCTCTATGTATGATTGTTGGGGTGTGGTTTGTTGAAGTGAGTGTGTAATTGTGATGAGGGGCATAATTGGAATTTGGAACTTTGGAAGACACAGGAGTAGCTTGTTCATGCAGCTAACGTTTATTTTGGTCATAAGGGATTACTTTAGACATGAAATTTGTTTCATGCAAACAGTGCCGTGTAAGTAAGTTTAGTAAGGAGTTGGCCATCTAAAGTAAAGCCTCCTTTTACATGAGAGTCAATGAGCGCTGAACTACCTCATCAGAAAGACAATGAGTAACAGAAACAGATACAGATACAAGAAAAGGGTCATGCTAGTCAATTACTTTAAGTTATTTTAGAATATTTGATTAGACGGACTAGATAAGGGGGATTAGAATCAATTGGACTTGAGTCCTGAGACTGTAAATCCCTCGGACTATTTGGCTGGATTGGATATGTAACCTGTGGTTGCTGTTTCGTGGGATTAGATGTCTGGAAATGACTATTTTTATTAAATCCAACGTTTGGTTGGACAGACTGGATAGGATAAATGAACAAAAAATTATTTTACCTTTTTTAATTGTTTACTAAGTAATAGCAATATTAAACATATCTTTAATATTTTAATTTTTTAGCTAGATTAAATAAAATTTTATTTTATTTTATTTTTTACACAATTAAATAAATATATTTTTTTTAAATTAAATAAATAAAATAAATAAAATATCAATAAAAATATATGTTATTTTTGTAATTAAAATTTTCAATAAATTTATTTTTAAAAATAATAATAAGTAAATAATGAAATTAAATAAAACATCTATTAAAATTTAAATAATGAAATTAAATAAATTATAAACAAAATTTTAAAATAAAGCATCAATAAAATATCTATAAAAAATTATTTTAAAAAATCAAATAAATAAAACATCAATAAAAACTAAATCAAATTATTTTATTTTTAAATTGAGACATTTAAATTTTATTAAATTTTATTAAATATAATACATAATTAAATAATAGAGGGTCAAAATTGTCATTTTCGCATCTAATCCAAACAGTGATTAGTCTCCCCAAAACAATCCCACCCCCCCGGACAGAATAGTCCCCCATATGGGGGACATGGAGTCCGGCGGACTAAAAAAAAAATCAAACGGCGGATAAGGAGCACTATTTGGATTACAATCCAAATAGTGGATAGTCCCTCCCTTATCCCTCAATCAAACCCGCCAATGGATTAACATTCTCCCATATGAGATTTATGGGTAAAATTTTCAATTATTTAAGGTTAAATTACAAATACACCCCTGAGGTTTACTTAAAGTACAGATTGTCCTATGTGGTTTGGAAAATTACAAATATCTCCATGTTAGAATTTTTTATTTAACAAAATTAACTAAAAATAAATAAAATTCATATTAATTATGTATTATATTTAATAAAATTTAATAAAATTTAAATGTCTCAATTTAAAAATAAAATAATTTTATTTAACTTTTTATTAATGTTTTATTTATTTAATTTTTTAAAATAATTTTTTATAGATATTTTATTGATGTTTTATTTTAAAATTTTGTTTATGTTTTATTTAATTTCATTGTTTAAATTTAATAGATGTTTTAATAGATGTTTTATTTAAACAATTAAATGTTTAATTTCAACAATAAATAATTTCATTTATTTAAATTATGTTTTATTTAAACATTTAAATATTTGTACATCAACATGTTTATTAAATTATTTCAACATCTGTACATCAACATGTATATTTATTTAACATCTATTAAATTATGTTTTAATACGTCAACATTTGATTACATCTACATTTGTTAATTGTTAATTGCATCAACATTTGTTAATTGTTTAAACATAATCTGTACATCAACATTTATTTAATTGTTAATTGTTAATTGTTTAAACATAATCTGTACATCAAAATAATTTCAATGTTAATTGTTTAAATAAAAATTTAAACATTTATCCATTAGTATGTTTAATTTCAACAATAAATTTTTATTTGTTTAAATAAAAATAATCTGTACCAGTCAATTTTTTATCAATATTAGTATGTTTAAATATCTTTAAACAAAATTTAACCATTAGTATGTGTTAAAAATGATGTATTATTGATTGATATATGTTGTTGTGTATATTACAAATGGTGAGTGGCTCATTATATAGGAGAGGGTGAGTGTAGTAGGTGAGGAGTAGGTGGTGGTAGGTGATGGTAAATTGGTGGTAGGTGATGGTAAATTTTAACTACCCCCCGCAAACTCAAGGAGGATAGAAACTAACCAACTTGAGTTTGGAGAGAGCAACAAAACAAGAAAATACATAAAAATAAAAGAGGATAGGAGACACTGTATGGTCGTCAGACCATTGGTGAAGACACTGGATGGTGGTGTCATAACGTTGTAGAGGACACTGTATGGTGGTGTCATAACGTTGTAGAGGACACTGTATGGGGGTGTCATAACGTTGTAGAGGACACTGTATGGTGGTGTCATAACGGTGTAGAGGACACTGGATGGCGGTGTCAGACCGATGTAGAAGACAGTTTATGGGGTCATGTCGGACCGTTGTAGCAGACAATGTGGTGACAGTTGTTGTGACAGTTTACAGAGTCTTGCTGGACCCTTGTAGAAACTAACCGGAATCAATGTCGGGACAGTTTACAGAGTCTTGTCGGACCCATGAAGGAGCTAACCGGAATCAATGTCGGGACAGTTTACAGAGTCTTGTCGGACCCATGAAAGAGCTAACCGGAATCAATGTCGGGACAGTTTACAGAGTCTTGTCGGACCCTTGAAGGAGCTAACCGGAATCAATGTCGGGACAGTTTACAGAGTCTTGTCGGACCCTTAAAAAGTCGCACCCTCAAAAGGTGTGCCTAATTTTTCAAAAAGGCGTGCCATCAAAAGACGTACCCAATCCATCAAAAGGCGTGCCAGATATGATGGCGAGGCACGTGAGTTCCTTGGCTGGCGCGCCCGTTTGTCGTCTGACGTCAAGTGACGCGCGATATGCGTAGCTGCCTCGGCTATTTAACCAAGACGGAGGCTGAGGCTAAGGCAGAAGCTGAGACAGAAAAACTGAGAGAAACCTCTGAAAAATTCTTCGTTTTGCTGAGAAAGATACTCTGTAACACTCTGTTGCCCAGAAAAATGGCTTCGTCTTCCCGCGGTCTGCTCACTCTCTTTCCCGACCTCAACGAGTCAACAACCGACATGACCCTATAAACTGTCCCGACATTTGATTCCGGTTAGTTTTTTTCAACGGTCCGACATGACCCTATAAACTGTCCCGACATTTGATTCCGGTTAGTTTTTTTCAACGGTCCGACATGACCCTATAAACTGTCCCGACATTTGATTCCGGTTAGTTTTTTTCAACGGTCCGACATGACCCTATAAACTGTCCCGACATTTGATTCCGGTTAGCTTTTCCAACGGTCCGACATGACCCTATGAAAATAAGGAGCTGAAGCGGAAGGCCACCGTGATGTTCCGATTTGGAGGTCCACCGTATGCTGTAGTGGAGGAGCAGGGAGGAGGCAACTTGCTTGGTGGTCTAGGAAGCACGGAGGCAACACCGGCAAGGACCACCCAGGACGGAGGCAAGAAGAAAAGACCGGCGGCTGAGTAGAGAAGAAAAATCTCACTGTGGGTGTGGTAGTTTTGTTTTTGTTTGTGTGGGTTTTTTTTTTTTTTTTTTTTTTTTTTTTGTGATGTAAAAGTGTGATCGGGGTTGATCCCCTGATATGAATAAAATGACAAGGTTGTGGAATGTTGTTGGTGTTATTTGGTGGTGTTGTTTTGTGGAATAAGAAAAATAAAATAAAAGAAAACAATGGATAAAGAAAAGAGAGAAAAAAAAATATTGGTGGATAGGTGATAAGAAAAACAGCGGTGTGATTTTTTTTTTTTTTTTTTTTTTTTTTTTGGGAAAGAAGGAAGATAAAATAAAAGAAAGA